ATAAGAAAAAATTGGTAGATAAGAGGACATCCATGTTTTGTCTATTCCAAACTCTTGAATTTTCTTCTTCAACAAACTCAAGAGTCGGGAATAGACAAAAATTGAAGTACAGAAAGAAGAAATTTGAGGAAAAATTGGTAGACAAGTACACAAGTACAAGTATTTTGTTCCAAAAACCAAGTATTCCACTGCACTGATATAAAATTAAACTAGAGGAGAGAATATATGGAATATGCACATCGATACATTATTTTTGTCGATACATAATAATATCGATATGAAAAAGAAGCAGAGACCGAAAGAACATCGATAAACAAAGTCAACTACTTACTCTATCCGTTCCACTGAGTAATTCTGAGCCCCATTAGCCGTCACATTAAAAAACCCAGCCTTTATTTTCAAAGGTCCTTGCCCATTTTCAATAATAATTTTCTCCAACTTAAACGGATCGATACTGGGCACATCCAAGTCGGCCAGCCCGTCAACCAGATACGGCCTCAGGTGATTGAAGGTTTTCTGAAGACATTGGTTCAGATTCGGGTCGGACTTGTAGCACGGGAGAATGTATTCGGCTGAAAAAAAAAACATGCGTAATTTATGAAACACGCGGAAGACAAACTAAGTTAGGTAATGATTGGTTTATGTAACTGACGAAACGAGGACGCCATGACTTTTCTTGTATTGTATAGTTGACCTACTACAAAAATTTTGACCCAAATATTTGCGTAATAATTCAACAAACAATATGAGTCATGAGTCATTTTTTGGGTGAATAATGTCTTTGTACATCAACCATTATTAAATCGCAATGTCTATTATCTATGAACCGTGCAATTTATATGTAATGGCCTTATGCAATTTTACAGTTTTTGCGCTTTTACATTTTAACTGGTTCTTATATATATATGCACTATATTTTTTCCATTGTTGCAAATTAACTGTTGTCATCGTCATTATCAATAATTATTTATCCACAAATTTAATTCCACTTTCCTTTTCAATAATTTAAACCGCTTAAATAACCTACTTAAAACGGTGAATTATATAAGAAAAGTGTGCGGTAATTTAACCTTCACTGGGTCAATGTCGCCATCTCAGATTGAAGAAAGAAAGTGAGATGATGATGGACCACTCCTCACTTACTTAAACCTTGTTTCTGGATGAAACGACATATTTGACATACATCCTAGTAGGCTTTGAATAATTATGACAGTTTCAATATAAATCAATCAAAAAAACTTTCAAAATGTCTGTTGTTACAATTATTTTGATTTGCATATGTCACATTCAAAAGGGTAAAAATCTAAGTGTATTGTGATTGGTACCTATTTAACAATTGGACAAAAATTATAATTAATCTTAGTAGGCCATGAAAAATAATTAATCAAAAAATTATACTTACGTGTTTGTAATTTTGTGTCACTGGTACCATTTTGTGCGTAAACACCGAATCTTAACCAAATTGCAACTAAAAAAATCCGCCGACAATTCATTTTTTCAAATGTGTGTCAACCTTGTATCGACCTATCTATCTGGAGACTGTTATAAAAAGAAATTTAGCACCTGACTGAACGGACCCTACGAAATTTTACCATAGCACAGAGAAAGGGGGAAAATGGGTAGTGAAAATGGTACAACTACACGGAGGGGGGAAATTGTATTGTTGCACCCACACCGAAAATTGTGTAATGTTTGCTTTGTTGTTGGGTGATGATGAATTACGCAGATTTTTTTTATTGATTTCTCAAATTTCTATATTTTATTAGCAAAGGCAGATTATGGTGTATAAGGTTATATTTAAAGTGTATGGTTGGCTAAATAATCAAACAAAGTTGTATTGTTTTGTTATATAAAAGTTAATTATTGGTTGTTGTCGGTATTAGGTAAATGGGTAATCAAATTGTAAAACTTTCAAAATAATTTATTTACTGGTTTTTGAGGAATAATTTACATAACATGGATTTGAATAGACATATCGATATATACGCCATCTATGATAGTGGATATCGATACGAATTTGTCATACCGACATGTATCGATAAGAATCTTACAAATGTAAATGTTTTGGATAGAACATTCATGTTTTTTTCTATTCCAGGCTCTTGAATTTTCTTCTTCGACAAATTCAAGAGCCGGGAAAGAAACATTGAGAAATAAAGAAAGCAGCTGTGAAACGCAAATAAATGCGCTAAAATGCACTTTTTCGAACACTCTATACATTCCCATGATGTCATTTGGAATAAATTCGATTATGACTAATCCAGACAACCTTTTTGGGTTTACTATCCTTGATTTTTAAAGCCTACTTGTTTCGCGGGTTTGCAATCTGGAAATAAAAGTTATATACAGAGAAGAAAAGAAAAATCCTTTTACAGTGGATTGTTAGGAAAAGTCTTTGGTCAATGGAAATGATTGTGGCTCTTATCTATTTCCTCCAGAGTGACATCTGAAAATATCATAGTAGGCTTTGAAATATGTTAACAACAATCTTTTTTTTTTGTTTAATTTTGTTGACATTTAATTTAACTAATTGAGCAGTGAATTTAAATAAACCATTTCTTTCTGCAATTTTTCATTATACTTTTACAGGTATTTAAATTTGAATTTCGCGCTCATTTATGGTCATTTTGAAATTTGACAAATGATAACGTAGAGGTTAGATTAATAAGGCAATCCGACAACCTGTCAAAAAGAAATTCAAAATGGAAGTCAATGGCTTTTTATTAAAAAAAAAAATGCCGTTTTGTCGCTATTTTTGATTTGTTTAAAGTCTGTAAAGTATTGATTTCGCCCTATTGTCAAGTTTCAATGAAAAATGTCACAATTGTTTGAATTAAATTTTTGATGCCAATTTTTTGGCATAGGCCGCCATTTTGTTTGGATTGCTCTATCAGCGAAGGAGAGGTGTAATATCCTTGTTTCTGAATCGAGGTTATAAGTAAAGTTGCGAACGACACGTTAGAAACCTTAGAATTTTGTGCAAAAGTTGAGTAAAGATTTAATTAATAAAGAAAATACAACAATTTAATTAATTAGACTCATCCCTACATTTTATTTTTTGATTTTACATTTTTGACTTTTGTCTATTTCCAAAGTTGTTTGAAAGACGTATAGGTTGCCTAATAACTTTTATGACGTCATCGGAGAGGAATTAAGGGTTTTTCCCTGGAAAAGGGTGTTTTTGAAGAGATCTTGAATTAAAAATTAATATTTATTACAAAAACACAAAGTAAATTGGAACTAATTCTAACATTCAATTGCGTACAATTTTTATATAAAATATTACTTATATCCTATTCACAATCCGATGTCCACAGGTACAGGTGAATTTATCACCTTTCCCTATCAAATAGCATTGAAAGATGATTAATTTGACCTGTACCTGTGGACATCGGATTGTGAATGGGTAATAGCTTAGCAATTGAAATTAGGTTGCTATATCGGGTTGTCGCTGCTAAGTCATGGGTTCAATGATATTAGGTCATATTCCGAATATATAGGATCATTAATCCGTAATTAGTGCCTCAACATAATGCAAATTTCCATAGGGCACCCCAGATGACGTCATCAAACTATCCATTACTAGATAACCTGGTTCGTCTATTACGGTCTATTCCAGGCAAAGTGTTATTTTAGTGTTTTTTTGGTGACTGGATTTACACTGTCAATTATCAATTTCATTGATTTTACTGAGCGGGTCCTTTTTTTATACCAACAAAAATTTTTAAAACTATTTTTCGCGGGAAAAATTTGAAATTTTAGTGTGATGCGACCCTGACTTTTCTATTTTTCTTCAGAAAATTTCATAATTTTTCCTTGAATAAATTTGAAATTTTACCATGATACGCCCCTGACTTTTTTTATTTTTTCTAGAAAATGTCATAATTTTTTCCTGAATAGTTTTTCAGAAAAAAAATAAAATGTTAGATGGTGTATTTATGTCTAATTTAGTTGATTTTCATTAATTTCCAATAGGGTTATTTTTTACTGGAAAAATTTAAAATTTCACTATGATACGTCCCTGACTTTCTTCTTTTTTTCCAGAAAATGTCATAATTTTCCCATGGATAGTTTATAAGAAAAAAAAAATGTTAGATGGTGCATTTATGCATAATTTAGTTGATTTTCATTAATTTCCAATAGGGTTATTTTGTATTGGGAAAATTTGAAATTTTAGTATAATACGCCTCTAACTTTCTTCTTTTTCTCCAGAAAATTTTATAAATTACCTCTGGATAGTTTTCCACAAAAAAAACAAAATCTTAGATGGTGCATTTATGCCTAATTTAGTTGATTTTCATTAATTTCCAATGGGGTTATTTTTCACTGGAAAAGTTTGAAATTTTAGTATGATACGCCCCTGACTTTTCTCGTTTTGTACAGAAAATTTTATAATTTTCCTTTGGATAGTTTTCCAGAAAAAAAAAATAAAATGTTAGATGGTGCATTTATGTCTAATTTAATTGATTTTCATTAATTTCCAATGGGGTTATTTTCTATTGGAAAAATTTGAAATTTTACTATGATACGCCCCTGACTTTTCTCTTTTTTTCCAAAAAATGTTATAATTTTTCCTTGAGTAGTTTTCCAGAAAAAAAAAATGTTATATGTTGGATTTATGCCTAATTTAAGTCAAAATAATTTCTACCGTATAAATATATTAATATCGAAATTAAAAAGAAGTTGTATTGTATCGATACTTATGAATATCTCTACAAATGAATACCTACATTATAGTAGGCTTTGAAAATAATTTCATTTCTATGTCATTTCAAATGTCAAATCCAGATTCAGGACGAAAACGCTATACAAATGCCACTAAATGAAACTGAAATAAAATAATAGTGGAAATTCAATAATTGCTTTTATTTAAAAAAAAATATAGGTATATCCTATTCACAATCCGATGTCCACAGGTACAGGTAAATTTATCACCTTTCCCAATCAAATAGCATTGAAAGGTGATAAATTTTACCTGTACCTGTGGACATCGGATTGTGAACGGATAATATACATCTATACAACTAGATGATAGTGACATCTTTTTTTTGATTCTATATAACAAAAAATTTCAAATTGCAGTCTAAATATTTCTTATCACAATTTTTTGGTCTATTTTTTTTCTCACTTAAACCTACATATTTTTACTGTTTTCCTTGTTATACTCTTTATACTGTTCATCAGTCAAATACCACAAATCAGTGGGAATTTTCATGAAAACATTATTGAGTAATTTTTTGAAAATTTCCGCTAAACTAGTGCTGATACTTTCTTCTAATTCGCTGACAATTTCAAGGCCGTTGTGATTGATGAAACTGTTAACAGTTTGACCTAAAATGAATTATAATTATTTATCTATTCACAATCTGTAGTCCAAAGGTACAGGTAAAATGTATCACCTTTTAATGCTATTTGATAGGGAAAGGTGATAAATTTACCTGTACCTTTGGACTACAGATTGTGAATAGGATATATGTAATAAGAAAATGAACATCTTTTTATTACCTAAAATCTTATTTCCATTAAACAAATTCTCGAATTTCACTTTTAAACCTCCAATGCGAAATTTCACCTTCATACTGTCTATGTGCATCAATTCTCTACCGTCTTTTTCCACAAAAGTCAAATTAGTAGACACTTTTGTGAGGATATTGTAGAGTTTTATCTCACAATGGCCTTGGCCTAGCAGTGGTAGAACCAAAATTTGTCCTTTAAGGTTGTAACGAGATTTGATGTCCAGTAGTGGGATGTCCAAGCCGAAATTCCAGTTACCTTTTTTACCGTTTTGAATAAACCTAGTATAGAGATTTTAATATAGAAATATTAACAGGGTGGTCCAAACTTGGGACACTTTTAATAGAATATGTCAATTTCTGAACAAAAAAATAATTTAATGAGATAAAAGTAAATAGGTATTAAGCCTATGATGTTTTATCTTCTGTTATTGTAACAGCAACGTCAAATTATCTGTCAACTGGAGAGGATATATGAACATCATAGACCTGAATATCTAGAATTTTTGCTCAGAAAATGACGTTTCCTAAAGTGTTCACCCTGTATACATACTCTGAATCAACTGGTGTAGAGTTTGAAGGTCCGGCTACAAGTAAATCAAACAGACTACCAGCAAGGACAATGGGTCCCATTCCTTTGCTTATCGAAACACTTTCAAGTGATAGAGGTTCAAAGTGTTCTACGTTAATTTCTGGAATGCCTATAAAATACCTATGCATAATAATTGACGTCATCAATGAAAAGGTTTTTTTACCTTTAGCCAAGTCAGGAAACATTTGCAAAAACATGTCATTGATGCAACTATTGATTTTGGGGTCTGTTTTTTTGCAAACTTTCAACCAAGAAGCTACAAAAGAATAATTGCAATTGCTTATTAATAATTGAAAAAACTGCATATATATTTACGTCTTTTAACAAGTAAAGGCGCATCTTGCACTGTATATCCACAAACTCCTACACTTAAACTCACAAAACAAAAAAAGTAAAAAAACATAGTGTGTTGAAGGTTCAGCAAACCTTTTTCTAATGATAAAAGTGTTAAGGGAGGTGCGCTCAAACGGTTTTTAATTAGAAATACGTCATTAATCTATTGGAATGGGTTAAACAAAGACACCAAGAGGTAAGGCACGCTCGAAATTCGTAAAAGTGAAAGCTAAACCAGCCCCCTGCTTTCCTTTTTTTGGTATTATTATGATTACATCATTTAAATATGCGTCGAACATATTACGAAAATTGATGACATAATAGAGAGATATCGGTAACCCAAATAGTATCATGCAGTATTAGCGCCTACGTTATTTTGACATTAAACCTATGCGCGATTCGATTTTTAACACTACGTACCAAAATAACGTTACCGCATCACGTAATTTACCCAGCATTTACGTTAAGCGCTATTTCGAATAACGCCTAAAAATAACGCAGTGGAATAAAATAGGTTATGTTATGTTTATTGTTTTTGTTTATTTTATTATTTTTGTTATGTTCAAGTGAATATGGATTGTTCAAAAAATAGTAAAAAAGCAAATCCTCTGTTCCTGATCATAAACAACAGACGACACAAATCAAATCACTACAAGGTACAAGTTAGGCTACGGTTTTAAAATAACGGATGCGAACAGGCAAATTTTACGTTAAACTGTTTTCCGATAACTCTAATTTGAAAGTATGATACCGCTTTACTTTAAAAAAATAACTCACGACGTTATTACCGTCCATACGCGCTATCTGTTTTACCGATATCTCTCTAATAATTATTTAACGTTTAATTTTGATTTTGAAGAAAAATTTCCTCATTATTAGTTCAAAGCCTCATTGATTAGATCCTAAATACCTACTTTAATTTGTTTAGTAGGTCGTTTATCAAAATTGCGCCACTTTTTTTGAATGGAAATCAAAAAATAACCGCTTTTAGCGCCATCTACCAAACGAAAGCCAAAGTTTTCGAAACAAATGTGCGCCATCTATGAAATACAATTGGAAAATAATTTGCTGCAAGTGACATCTATCAAATAAAACCAAAAGTTTGTTTGTAAAAATCTGCAATAATTATTGCAAAAATCTGTAAATATAGAAAATAATTTACCAGCAACTTATGATAGTGATGACGTCACTATAAGATTTATATTCTTTGTAAATTTCAAATCTTCCGGAGTGGTGGAGACAAAAATTCCTTCATTATTTGGTGTTATGAAGGGTCAAATTGCTAACGATGGGTCAGTTGGAAAATTGACGAAAGTTACAATACTTGAAATCCTACTTGGATTTGAATTTGAGAAATTGGAAAAGTCAGTTTTATTTTTTTGTTTAGTAACACTTAACATTTGACACTAAACACTTGCAGTTAATAAAATGTAAACCGGCCTTAAGTGTACTTGGACTGTGTCAACCGGGATTAATTTATAACAGGGCTGGGATTCTCTATTTCTATCTTTATTGACGTACCCTCTCTATTTATGCCTAAAAGAGAGAAGAAGATGCTTACAAGTGCCATAGCAATAGGGATAATGATCTGCTCTATCATTTTCAGCGCAGATATCTTAAACAGGAGCTCAATGATCCTTTGGTCTGTTTCAATTGGGTTTGAAATGGAATTTTTTTATCATTCCCGACTCTTGATTGGCTTAGAAATTGAATTTTTTAAATTTTCCCGGCTTTTGATTGGTTAAGAAATTCAAATTTTGCATATTCTCGGCTCATGATTGGCTAAAGTCAATTTTTTAATTTCCCCGGTTCTTATAATTGGGTTTAAAATTGAATTTTTGATTATTCCTGGCTTTTGATTGGGTACAATTTTTGATCATTCCCGGCTCTTGATTGGCTTAGAAAATGAATTTTTTAATTTTCCCGGCTTTTGATTGGTTCAGAAATTCAAATTTTGAATATTCTCGACTCATGATTGGCTAAAGTCAATTTTTTAATTTCCCCGGTTCTTATGATTGGGTTTAAAATTGAATTTTTGATTATTCCTGGCTTTTGATTGGGTTTAATTTTTTGATCATTCCCGGCTCTTGATTGGGTTAGAAATTGAATTTTTCAAGTTTCCCGAATCTTGATTAATTTAAAAATTGAATTTTTGATTATTCTCGGCTTTTGATTGGCTCCAATTTTTTAATTTTCCTGGCTCTTGATTGGCTTACAACATCAATTTTTGAATTTTCCCGACGTTTGATTGTGAAAATGAATTTTAAAGCCAATCAAGAACTGGGAATATTCAAACATTGAATTATGAAACGTCAAATCAAGCCAATCAAGAGCCGGGAAAATTCAAAAAATTGGAACCAATCAAAAGCCGAGAATAATCAAGCATTCAATTTTTAAATTAATCAAGAGTCAGGAAATTTGAAAAATTCAATTTCTAACGCAATCAAGAGCCGGGAATGATCAAAAAATTAAACCCAATCAAAAGCCAGGAATAATCAAAAATTCAATTTTAAACCCAATCATATGAACCGGGAAAATTCAAAAATTCACTTTGAAAGCCAATCATAAGTCGAGAATATTCAAAATTTGAATTTTTAAACCAATCAAGAGCCGGGAAAATTAAAAAATTCAATTTCTAAGCCAATCAAGAGTTGGAAATTATCAAAAATTCAATTTTTATTAAACCCATTTGGAACAGATCAAAGGTTCATCTACCTCCTGGAGAGATCTGGGCTGGGACTCTGTAACTGATAGAGTAGATCGTTAACCCCGTTCCTATGGCATTTGTTGGCATCTTCTTCTTTCTTTTAGAAATAAATAGAGAGGGTACGTCAATAGAGATACAGTTATAGAGTCCCAGCCCTGTTACTCCGATTGACACAGTCTAAGTACTTAAGGCCGATTTACATTTTGTTAACTGCAAGTGTTTGGTGTCAAATGTTAAGTGTTACTAAACAAAAAAATAAAACTGACTTTTCCAATCTCTCAAAATCAAATCCAAGTAGGATTTCAAGTATTGTAACTTTCGTTAATTTTTCAACTGACCCATCGTTAGCAATTTGACCCTTTATAACACCAAATAATGAAGGAGGCGAAAATTTCAAAATTTTTGCCTCCACCACTCCGGAAGAATTCAAATTAACAAAGAATATAGGTCTTATAATGACGTCATCATTATCATAAGTTGCTAGCTGGTCAATTATTTCCCATAATTACAGATTTCTGCAATAATTATTGCAGGTTTTTTTAAAAACAAACTTTTGGTTTTATTTGATAGATGTCACCTGCAGAAAATTATTTTCCAATAACTTTTAATTGTATTTCATAGATGGCGCATAAGACAATTTGTTTCTACAGTTTTGTTTCGAGAACTTTGACTTCCGTTTGGTAGATGGTGCTATAAGCAGTTTTTTGATTGGCTTAGAAATTCAATTTTTTAATCTTCCTAAGCTGGCTCTTGATTGGTTTAGAAATTAAAATTTTCAATATTCTCGGCTCATGATTGGCTATTGAAGTCAATTTTTGAATTTCTCCGGTTCTTATGATTGGGTTTAAAATTGAATTTTTGATTATTCTTGGCTTTTGATTGGGTTTAATTTTTGATCATTCCTGGCTCTTGATTGGCTAAGAAATTATTAAATTTTTCAAATTTCCTGACTCTTGATTTATTTAAAAATTGAATTTTTAAGTATTCTCGGCTCTTAATTGGCTCCAATTTTTGAATTTTCCCGGCTCTTGATTGGCTTAAAAAGTCAATTTTTGAATTTTTCCGACTTTTGATTGGGTTTAAAAATGCACAATCAAGACCTGGGAATTTTCAAACATTGAATTTTGAAACGTCAAATCAAACCAATCAAGAGCCGAGATATTTGAAAATTGAAATTTACAGCCAATCAAGAGCCGAGAATTTCTAGAAATTGAATTTTTAAGCCAATCAAAAACCGGAATAATCAAAAAAATTAAATTTTAAAACCAATCAATAACCGGAAATATTCGAACATTGAATTTTTAAATGTCAAATTCAGCCAATCAAGAACCGGGAATATTTGAAAATTGAATTTTAAAGCAAATCAAGAGCCGGAAATTCATGAATATTGAATTTTTAGGCCAATCAAAAACCGGAAAATTTAAAAATTGAATTTTAAAACCAATCAATAACCGGAAATATTCGAACATTGAATTTTGAAACGTCAAATCAAGCCAATCAAGAGCCGAGAATATTTGAAAATTGAAATTAACAGCCAATCAAAAGCCGGGAATTTACAAATATCGAATTTTTAAGCCAATCAAAAACCGAGAAAATTCAAAAAATTGAATTTTGAAACGAATCAATAACCGGAACATTGAATTTTGAACGTCAAATTGAGCCAATCAAGAGCCGGGAATGCTTGAAAATTGAATTTGAAAGCTGGGAAAGTTGGAAATAATCATTTGATTGATCAATAAGGAATTCTTTTAGAATGTTGTTACTGAACTACTGAACACTTGAACTAAAGGCCGGTTTACACTTTAATTAGTAGCAAGTGCAAGTGTGTAGTGTTAATGTTTAGTTGTCAAATTATAAACGGATATCTGTCATCGTGTTCTAATTTTCTGTGAATTATACATAATAAAAATATTATTCTAATTTTGATTATCAAAGTTGATCATAGATGTCGCCTATTTCGGAACCTTTCGCAATTGCAATTATTACAGGAATCTGTAATAATTATAGTAACTCGTAAATTTTCCGCTTTTGTGTTGGCAACCCAACGAGCAAACTGAAAATAATGGAAATTTTAAAGAGAAACTCGGTTTGGGGATTATTAGGAACTCATCACCATTATTTGGTGACTTGTTAATGTGGGGTAAGTTGAAAAATTTGAAAAAATTACAAACGATTTGATTTTGAGAAGTTCCTAGAGTCAACTAGAGTAAGGCTTATCGATACGATATATCGATATTCATATATACCTACATCGATACGTCCTCAATTTCATATTTTTTATATTCCAGGCTCTTGAATTTTCTGTTTCAACAAATTCAAAAACCAGGAATAGACAAAAATTGTGCTGGAAGGAAAAAATTGTATCCCACTTTATCTCTCTCTTTGTCTTACTGATTTATAATCGCATTTGTTGCTTTTGCAATTGTTTTCTTTTTTGTCTTACTCACTGTAATCATTGTTTTTTTTCCAAAAATACAATTAAATTAACATTGAAATTGGAAATTTGGTTACTTTTCCAGGCTGCATATTCATCTAGATGAAGAATTCGGTTTGAGATTGTAATTCTGACAACATCGCTTCGAATCAAGTAAGCCTTTTGTAATAAATGTCATTTGCC